CATCGTTATAGAGGAATTATAGTTATATAGGGAATCGTCATAGAGAGAGACTACTGTATGTACTTAGGTATCTTTACAAAATCTTTATTTCCATAATATGCAAATATATTTCCCAAAGAGATCTCATATTGAGCACAAACTGAATACAATTTTGTTGTTACTTCCTCTTTTTTGTTTGAGTTTTGTGTAGTTTACCTTGTTAACATTTCCTTAATAAAACAACAATCTAACTTGGCAAGTTTCTTTATAAGCATAACATTTTAAGCACTATTAGAACTTTTTGTAAGTATTCAAACAAAAACCTATCCTAGTTTGTTCCAGATACAGCTGAGCTGTGTTATAACAATAAAGAATTTCTACGACAACGGCAATAACAACTTTTTACAAATATGATTTTTTCACTCTTACGAAATAAAAACTTCTAACTTCGGCATTGAAGTTACATCTTCAGTTCCCTTGAGAGTCAGAATGGCGCTTTTACTCGAAAATTGCACACTATGTAGGTATCTTTTGAAAAAATGTTATTGTCCTGAGTGCCGGAATATGGATCTATGAAAACAAGAGAAAAATTCGATTAAAAGTTTTCCACTTGAATTGAGTTTTCCTCCCGAAACTAATTCCGACTTTTACGAGTGTTTACGGTGAATAACGGGGTCGAATTCTTGGTGGGAATTGAGGTATTATCTAAGTCAAAGTTGATTGATTTTAACTTTAAAACGTGCTTTATTGACAGGAACCTAATATTTAGTTAAATAAAGCAGAGGCTTAATTTATTGTTATTTATTATTTATTTATTTATCGTATGGCAATTACAACACATTTAGAACCAAATTACAAACACTAGTAATATAGGTATATGACAAACTTTAAATAGTTATAAACAAACATCAAGTGTATTAACAATCACTTGACTCTGAAGTTGCATCAGGAAGTCTTCAGGGCTACCATTGTAGGATCTTAAGGGACACTCTTCAATAATGTGGTCGATCGTTTGGTTCTTCCCACAGTCACATTGAGGAGACGGATTCTTTCCCATTTATGTAACACGTATGCACATCTGGCATCCATTCTTGGGACCTTGCATTCATGATGTTGAATTCCTCATGTATCATTCTTGTCGTTTTCATTTGTGGTTTTCTAGAACGTAGACGGGTATTTCGTGCACCCTCGGTATCTTGGTGGATCCGCAGGTTTATATTGTTCATGATCTTTTTGTATTCACGTGTAAGTGCCTCAACTCGTCGTAAATGTGGAGGTGGAATGTGACTTAACGCTGGAAGCCATTGGGTGGGAGTTGATTTAATTGTACCAGCTATCATCCTAATAGTGCTGTGCAGCTGAGTGTCGGCCTTTTTTACGTGTGGACTGTGTAGCCAAACTGGGGAACAATATTCGACGGTCGAGAAAACAAGGGCTAAGGCAGTAGAGCGGAGAGTGGAAGCCGATGCTCCCCAGGTGGTACCGCAGAGCTCCTGTATAATGTTATTTCTTGTACTCAAATTTTGGGCAGTTTTTGTTAAATGCTCTTTAAATGATAACGTTCTGTCTAGTGTTACGCCCAGGTACTTCGGTGTTTTGTTGTGGGAAAGTGTTGTATTTTCAAACCGTATGTTGAGTTCCTTTCCAGCAAGTTTATTGTTCAGGTGAAAGCAACTATCTTCTGTTTCGGATGCATTTGGTTGAAGCCGCCACTTGCGAAAATATTTGCCCAATATATATGTCTGGCGTCAGAACTTCTTCAGATGTTTCTAGTGTTCTGCATCGTGTAGTGAGGGCCCAGTCATCGGCGTATCCGAACTATCTTGATTGTGTTTCCGGCATATCTGCTAAATATAAGCTAAATAGTAATGGAGAGAGCACTAACCCTTGTGGTAGGCCATTCTTAAGTTTCTTTGGTGGGCTGATATCTGCACCCATCACTACTTGAAAAATTCGGTCGTTGAGCATGTTATCTATTAAACGTGCTATTTGTTTACAGGGGATTGCACGGAGAATTTTGTATATAAGGCCCTCTCTCCATACTGTATCAAAATCTGCCGAGAGATCAATAAATACCGCTGAAGTTTTAAGTTTTCTTCAAGTCTTAATTTATTGTAAAAATATCTTCAATTGTAAATACCAATTATTAAGATTTTATACAATCACAGAAAGCCTTTTATAATAACTTCTTTTTCTTCATTTATAGAATCAATAGAGAGAGAAAGCATATTATGGAAATAGAGCTTAAAGGATGGTAAATGGGCATCTCAATAAATGGCCGAAAAATAAACAACCCACGTTTTGCAGACGACACCTCCCTTTTTGTCAAAAGCCAAGAAGAGTTAACTGATCTCATACATACGACTGGTTAAAAACGAAAGTCAAATATTTGGTCTGCAGTTAAACCTATCAAAAACAAAGATCATGATAGTGGATAGACTACAGAACAATCATCCACACATAAGCACGATTAAACAAATTTAAGGATGTGAGCTCATACTTATATCTGGGATCATTAATCAAAAACACAGAGTTACTACAGGAAGACTTAGACGTGATCTAGCAAAAGTCGTTGTAGGAAAGGACTTATAAATTTCACGAACTCTAAAAATGAGGTTAATCAACTGTTTAATATTCACAATACTGACATACGGATGTGAATCTTGGATTCTACAATAAGCGTAAAGAAAAAAGATAAACGCCACTGAAATGTTCTGCTGGAGAAATATGTTAAGAATTTCGTGGACCGACCACAGGACAAATAATTCAATTTTAAAGAAGCTAAAGGTCAGCAAATGGCTTTCCAGCAAAGTCCATCCCCAACAATTAAAATACTCTGGGCATGTTATGAGAGTAGACTCAGAAAACATGGTAAGATTTATTATCCAAGGAAAGGTAAACCACGAGTGATCTCTAACAAGATGGATCGGCGAAATAACCGGAATATACAAAAGACCTATGCATAAGTTAAAAGAAATGACCAGAGACAGAGATCTTTGGAGACTGACAATATGTACACGATATCATGATGATCACTACACTCCCTCCTTCAGGGGTCAAGACTACAGAGAGAGTCCTCCATTATATTGACGTAACTGATCTGTTATTTTTTTATGTTTAGTGTTAGCTGGTTTATACCCTTTACATTCATCATCATCATCATCATCCAGCCTTTATTGATCACGTTTACTGCTGGATGTGTAATGTGTAATTTTGCTTGTCCATTGTGAGTCATGTATTCTCGCTATATGGCCTGCCCAATTCCATTTTAGTTCTGCTATGCGTTCCACAACATCAGCAATACTCGTCTTTCTTCGCAGATCTTCGTTTCTTAATCGGTCCCGCAACGTCACTTCCGGCATAGACTGTTCCATTCGTCTCTATGCCACTCTCAATTTCGAAGCTGTAGTCTCGGTTAGTTTCCGCCCCATAGGTCATAACTGGTAATACGCATTAAATACTTTTCTTTTGAGGCTAATTGGTATGTTGGCCCTAACTTTGACTCACAGTTTTCCAAAGGCTGCCCACACTAAAGTAATTTGTCTTTGGATTTCGCATGTTTGGCTATCACTGCTGATTCTTATTTCGTAACCCAAATACGTATAGTTCTTCACTAATTCTACCACTTTATTTTGAATAGTTAAATGGTTATTGGAACCATATTTGTCATAAACTTAGTTTTGAACAAGTTCATTCTGAGGCCCACCTTCGAAGTCCAATTCATTTAACATATCTGTGGCTTCTTCTTAATTATCTCTCATAAGGACAATGTCATTTATGAAACGGAGATAGTTAAGTTTTTCACCGTCTATTGTTACTCCTCTGCGGTCCCAATTGACCATCTAAAAGGCACACTCTAATGCCGTTATGAATAACTTCGGTGACAATGTATCTCCTTGTCTTATTCGACGTTTTATTTTTATTGGTCGGGTTTTATCCTGTATCTTAACAGTCATAAAGGTATTTTTGTAAATATTATAAATAAGTTCACTATACCTATGGTCAATCCTGCTATCATTCATTGCTTCTATAAGACTGTCTATTTCGATCGTGTCGAACGCTTTATGAAAATCTATGAAAGTGAGGACAAGAGGTTTGTTGTATTCTACAGATTTTTTAATGAGCGTATGGAGTATGCACTTTTTCATTAGTGTATGGAGGTGATCTGTGGTACTATAATTTGATCGGAATCCTCCCTGCTCCCTGGGTTGGTAGAAATCTATTTTTTCTTCAATATTGATGTCATTAACCTATATGAAGCGAATATGTAGTTTAACAGGCTAATAGGTCTATAATTCTCTAGGTCCGTTCTATCTCCTTTTTTATATTAAAGAATGGTTATAGCACTGTTCCATTCTTTGGACACCTCTCTTTGTTGCAAACATAGATTAAACAGTTTCCTTAATTGGTTTAATAGCATATCTCCTCCATTTACAATTAGCTTTTATTACAATTCCATCCTCTCTTGGGGCTTTATTATTTTTCATTTTTCTTAACACTTGTCGAATCTCATCTACCTTTATTTCTGGCATTAGTTCGGAACCTTGATTCATGATCTTTAAAATGGCTGTTTGTATTCCTGTTTAATCTCGTCTACTTCCATATAATTCCACATAGAACTCTTCGACGATCGCGTCCTAAAGGCGTACAGGCAAATCCTTAATAGAGAAGTCAGTTCCGGTAGAACTTACTGGGTATATCGGACCAAATAAGGTTAATCAGGTGTTGGCAAAGAAGAAAGCCAATTGGCTGCAATAAGACATATATAAAAACAGGTGGCTTCCAGAAAAAAAAAAACGTTTTCAGTGAGACATTTTCAAAATGTCCAAATGTCCAAAAAATATAAGGTAGCCAGAGGTAACTGTATTTCCAGAAACAGTTATATAAAAATACAAAAGGTTTTCTTTCAATTTTTTTTGATATCTATATCTGATAAAGATCAATATTGTATTCACCATAGTGCTGAGATAATAAATAAACCACACTAAAGTAATCAATAAGTTAATTAGAATACATCTTACCTTTGTGAGATTCTAGGATTTAAATGCAGGGCGATATCACTAGATGGTGATCTGTTGCAGCATAGATTAACAGCAAATCTGTAAATAATATTTTACTTTATAAAATAAAAACGACTAAGTTTGATGCATTGATGCTGTATTATATTAATATAAGCTATATAAAATACAGTTTGGTATATTGATAATCAGGTATGATATTATTGAGCAATGTATTTTACACAACATCAGAGCATTTTAATTTTTTGTGGCATCCGTTGCGAATTTAAATAGAATAGAATAGAAATATCGGTTAGACAAATAAATGATTTAAATCTATACTTTACTGAGTTATAAACTGCATAAAACCAACTGCATAAAAAGGTTAAAAAATACAAATCAAAATATACAATAAAACATTTCTTTAAAATACATTTATAGATAAATTTTTGTATAAATAGTTGTTTATTTAGCAAAGATGGTAGGATGGTAGTGGTTTAATAGGTTGCAAAAAATATATAACGTCACAGGTCAAACAAACAATGACTGTAGCGAAAGGTCAAGGACAGACAACTTATACTGTTTTGAAGCTATTTTCTTATGGCATCTTAATGCAATTACTATTTTTGTTGGGAATAAGACACAATTTAAGTTTAAAACAAGTTTATTTAGACCGATTTTCGAAGTAAAGATCGAAACGTCAAAAATAAAATAAACTTAAATTGTGTCTTATTCCCAACAAAAATAGTAAGACAATTCATATATGAGACGTATACTTATAAGAGCAATTAAAACAGAAAACAGAGTTACGAAAGACGATAATTGTCTGAGAATACGAAAATTTCAGCCAGTATTCAGCATGCTGTGCTTCTCCCAAAAGGGAAAGAAAAGTATTAACGTGTTTGCTATCTGTCTTGCAGAGGTAAACTATACGAGAGGATTCTAAGAAGTCGAACTGACACAGTAATTGAAGAATCAGAAAGTTTGTTATCTAAAGAGTAAGGTTCCAGAAAGAACACGAGCACGGTTGATGCGGTGATGGAAGTTTTTCGGGAGTTTTGCAAATTGGGAGTAGACCAGAATTGGACGATCCAACTGCTTTGAACTCCGGAATGCTTTCAATACCTTAAAATGAAAAGAAGTAATAACGACTTTACGATAAAGAATGTGTCCTGGTGACTTGTTGAATGTGGTCTCGGATTACCTGTCAACGAGGTAAATAGTGGTAGTAAAAGGAGAAGAGGTCGACGTAGCGTCAGGAGTCGATCCTACGACCCATGCGATTGGAAGCTGGCATACAACGGGGTTTTGAGGTTATGAACCAAGAATACGGAGAGGGTGCAACCTCATTGAATTTTTGGACGACCTCTCTAAGACAGCGGTATCTCAGGATAAGAAAAACTTTATCTTCGGTGCACAGCATACATCCGACCAACTGGAGAAATGAATGAAAACGAAGTTGCGTGCAAGTAACCATAGTTATTGGGGGACCACGAAAAAAGAGACAGAATAACATTCGAATATGCAGGAATTAGAGTGCTTCCATTAAGTCAAAAAGGACAGGGCGGTAAGCCGCGCATAAACGGTGATTTAGGAGAGGGAGATAGCCCTTTATTATGTTGTCCAATTGATTGTCATCTACGCGGCCCCGGTTTGAGGTACGACAATTTTAAGAAAATCGTACAAAAGGCACCTCGCCCGAAGAGATAGGAAGTCTATTGAGTATGACATTTGCATACAATACGCTGTCTGCGGAGCCTCTGTAAGATATCGCCAGGTGTATTCTGCGTTAGGTGTAAGTTAACGAAATAGAAAGAATATATGATAGACGAAATGAAGACATAGCAAGGAAACGTTTAAAAAAAAGTTCCATTATATATAGGCCATAGGGATGTTTCAAGGCTTGCCTTTACAGGTTCGTAAAAGCAGAAAGACTGCTTGAGATAGATCAGAGAGACAGGCTACAATCAAATACAGAACTAGTGGAGGAGATGTTGCTAAAGTTACCGGATCGGAAGATAGCAATCCAGATATATGTGTAGAGGATGCTAGAAAGATAGGGAGAGTCGGAGAGAGACAAAGGTGGCCGGTCTACCCTGGTTGGGTAATTCATGGTTGTGAAATGTTTTTTATCAGGTAGGTTTCTAGCATTAACCCCGGCAGTCTTTTGTTAGTTCTTTTAGTAGAACAATATTTTCTATATATGTGGAGTATTTGAGTATATGAGTAAAAAATAATGCTATTGAAATGCATGAGGATTTTCTGTCACATAGTTATGGCTATTGCACCAGTTAAACACACTTCTTTTAGTAAACGTGGCTTCATGGGTAAATAAAATGTTATTATAAAACATTGGATCGTCTAAATGACGCCCTATCATAAACTGACTAAACTGGAGCCTTGTTGGAAAATACTGTGGTAAAAGATTTTGTACTGGAGTAAAACGATACGGATACAGATTTTCTGTCCGTATTATTCTTGACATCATAAATTTACTTATACTAGTGGCCACAGAAACAAGTCTTTTACTAGTTTCTGGATCTTCTGCAATACTCACAACCATTTCATCCTCCATTTCCGCATCAATTACTCTCGATCTTCCAGCATTCCTGTTTTTGAGATTAAATGACCCTGTTTCGCCTAATCTGTCGAACAATAATCTAATAGTTTCATGGTTTAGTTGCCTTTTATTGGGATAAAGTTCGAAATAGCGTTGAGCTGCTTTACGAGAACAAAAATTTTGCTGGGCATACAAACAGATCATATCGCTCATTTCTGCATTAGAAAATTCACTATGATGTGGCATTTTACCTTTATCTTAAGTGGTTTATAAAAAAAACTTAATAGCACTTTCATAAATAATGAATCGCACTGCAGTCGCACAATTAATAATAAATAAATTCGTCGTTACGTCTTGACGTTGCCATTAAGTTCAAAGCATACCTAGATACCTGCTTGTTTTGCAAAAAGTTCGATAGAGACATGCGTATCATTAACAAAATACATTTGTTTCGAAAACGGTGTACTTTTTTGATTTGAAACAAGAAAACCTTTTTTGTGCAGAATTGAATGTTATTTTGTTTTTTTTTACCTAAAATATTTATAAAGGGCGGACAAAAAATGATGACCGCATTAATGAACCAATGTTATAGTCAGTGGCGCCACCTGGTGTCAATGGTAAAACTAATATCATTTCCATATTAAGCATACTAAATTACTGCAAGATACCAAATTTCACTTAAATCGGTTGAGTAGTTTTCAATATACCTATGCCTAAAAATAATATAAAAAAATATTAATGAATCACATTGTAGAACGAAAACTAGCAAAATTTTGCCTAAACAATTTGAGCTCAAACGCTTTATTTTGATGTCAACTATCACTCATTAGCTAATGTCCAACTATTTATTTTTTCGACACCCTGTATAACAGAAATATTACTACGCTCCAGGAGTCGTAATATTTCAACAGAACATCTCAAATATCAGTAAATAAAGTTATTATCTAGAAATGTACTTCCAAGCAAGAATTACCTATCATAAATATAATTTTTCTTTATTTATTGTATATTTATACAAAACGTGTACTTTATGTAGAAACCCCTGAAGGTTTTCCGTGCGGTGGTTTTACCTCATGTCACTGATTTATGGTGAAATCGTTGCTGCCACCTGTGAGATTATCAGTGTTTACAGTTGCAATTATGTATCAGATTACTGGTTAGATATTGTCAATAAGATATATCAGTAATAGATCTTGTTTCGCGTTTAACCTCCTGCCATGTATAATGAATAAAGACAAATAGTATGGGAGAAACTGGATAAAAAATAAAATGTTTTTGTTCTATTTTTTTTTATTTTCAATTTATTGTTTATGTTTTAAAATCTAGTTGTTGAATATTATGGTAATTAACTATATCAACTTATTGTCTTTATCAATTCTGATTTTCATTTATTTTTATCTAATGTTATACCTATTTGTATAAATTCCAAAAATGCAAAATTCCAAAATATAATTCGAATATAAATTAAAATATACTAGAATAGAATGGAAATATGCTTTATTGTCACCGAAAATTGTACAATTTTATGGACAAAGCTTACAAAAAGTCAAAAAAATAACAATAAGAATTTAAAATTTACTGAAATTACATAAATCGTCAATATCACAAAACAAAAGATAATAAAATACACAATCCATTGCAAAATTTAAATAAATTGTAGATTGCATAATAAAACCTTACGAACTAATAAGTTTAAGTTGCTGCATGTGATACGCAAATATAGGGGAAACCGGAGGAATTCTGCGCACCTAAGGTAAAATACTTACAAAAAGTTTCTTATGTGCGAACAAACTTCCATAATTTAACTACTGAAACTTGTATCTATTTGGAACATTATGCCCATAAAAAATAGGATTACAGTTTAACGGATTTTGAAGAAAAAAATTTAATTTAAAAAACTGTCATTGCGCGGTATTCACCCAAGTACGGGGTAATTCTGCGCAAAATTAAATAAAGCTTTATTCGAAACAAAAAAATTATTGTAATAAGCAAATATTGTAAACAAAACAGATTTCTTAAAGACAAAATTAAAAAAGTATATTAAAGAGATAATTTTACTTTCTAACTGCCTTTCGTTCGACCTTGACACACATATCGCATGTATTATTAACTGCTGAGTCCCAACCACTGCATTTTGAATGAGCCCAATTCGAACACATTACACAACGGTACCGAATTTCTTTGTCTCGCCTGAATTCACCGCACACCAAACACTCCTCATTTTCTAATGTTAGATCTACATCATCTTATTCATTATCATCACAGGGCTTACTCTCATCATAACTTTCAGACTCAGAATCATCAAAATGTAAGTTTCTAACTCCAGCTTTCTTGCGTACAGGTCGTTTCTTTGCTGTTTCCCTACGGTTTTTGTCGTGTTTTTTTTTTTGTTTTATTTATAATTGAGTTTTTAGTGGCGTGGAAGTGAAAATTTCTCAGTGTTGTTTTGCACGTGATTTGGAACTTTTCTTTATAAATTTGGAAGGAAGAGGAGCTTTTCAATGGGTATACTAGATTGAGTTTTAATATTTCCTGACGTTCC